ATCGGCAGTTGAAGACTCTTGCTGGAATTAGAATCTCAGAATCAGGAATTACATCAATTTCTTCATGAGATATGGATCTTCATGTGTACACCAACAGGTATAAGATAGCCGACTAGGTGATAGTTATAGAAAAAAATACAGAGGATAAAAATAATATTTTGATTTATATGATTAGGGTTATGCATAAAAGGAAAGTTGAATAGAACAAATGAAAATGATTATGTATGAATTTTAAATAATTTTACTGAAATTACCTATTATTTGTTGGTAAAAGTGATCAAGAACCTGCATCTCACTGATGAGTATTCAATATGATCTTTTTATCTACACATGTGTAATGAACAATACCATGAAATTTAAAGGAAGAAGCTATAATCATAAGGTTAATATTCCACCTTAGTTTTTACTCATGTTTCAAGCCAAAAAATAATAAGTGTTTTTGATGTTATCAAAAGTGATGATTTAATGTGGATCTCAACAACAAAAAAAGGGAAGAATTACATCTGCACATGGTAAAGTGAAATGATAAATAGCTTTTAAAAGAAACCTAAAACTGAGAAAAAATGAGTTCAAAAACATGTTCAATAAATATCCCTATCCCTTATTGCTTCAGGATGTATAACAACCCTTAGAGAAAGATACACATTATAAATTTTTATATTAAATTTAAAAAATTGAGACACAAAGAAAATAAGGAATTTATAAGAGAAACCTGTCATGATAATTTAAAAGATGAAGTGTATTTTGAATTGCAAAGACGTGGGAGTATTGGAAAGGGGCAAAGGAGAAATCTGGGAAGATGAAATGGAATAAGCAAAGCATAAAAAACTGAAAAAGCCTTGTATATTCCGGGAAAAATTGGAAACTTAGTTAACTTACAACTTAAGGAGATTCTATATGGTGTGAGTTGATTAGTAACCATCACTCCATCATTTAGAAGTATTATACTTTAAATCGCAATATTTCTTGTCTTTATCGCCTTCCATTCAAACCACTAAAATAGATTTGTGATTGAACACTCTTACTCCCATTTCTCTCATATTCCAATCACCCTTTCATATATTATAAAATAAATATTCCATCCAATGATTAGGTATAAATTTCAAGTTTGTTCTTCAAGGGGAATAAGGTAAAAATTGACATGTTTACAAATGAAAAAAAAATTATTTAGAACTGTCTTTTTTTCTAGAAACTCTAGACAAAGAAAATATATGTGAAAATGTCCAGAAATAATCAGGACCAACACGTGAGAAAGGTTTTCACAAGGACAAGTCAAAGAATCTGTGACGACTTTTAGATTAAGGATGTTGTTCAGTCCTAGAACGAGGTTGATGAAACTTATAAGCTTGGGTAACAAAAAATTGAAGGGTAGAAATTTCCAATGATTTTTGGCCAAAATTATCCAGGACTTTGGAAAACACCTTAGAGTTAGATTGAACTATAAATATTTATCCTTTCCTATGAACGGAAGTTCAGTTCCAAATCATTTCAATACTTAGATAAATAACAGGAATGAGTCTTAAATTATATCTTTACATAGATATGATATAAATGTAAGTGTAAATATAGATTTATGTATATATAATTCTAGATATACTTTATGTAGATATATATGAATATATAGCTATAGATATAAATGAATATAGAGATGATATAGAGATAGATATAGAGATAATCTGATACTCAAGAAAACTTTACCAGGCATCAAGAAGTTAAGAAATGACTAAATCTAAGATATATGTTATATAGTAGACACACTTGTGAGGGATTTAGTAAATGAAAATATTAGACATAGCTATTAATATAAGTATTTTATACTTAGAAAATCAAAGAGTAGATTGGAAATTTTGTCAGACCACTGAAACATTAAAATAACCAAGTAGAAATTTTAAAATTGAAAAAAGAAATAAATGTGAAATTGTTGAATGGATTAAAAAGAAATTAGATACAGTTGGAGAGACAACTAGTGATTGTTCCCTAAGAGATATTTGAACTAAAAAAAAAATATATGAGTGGAGCTTCAGAGAATATGGAAAGGTCTAAAATAATTTCAATTGGGATCCTAAAACAAGATTGTTCATTTATGTATGCACATGCATGCTAAGATAGATGATAGATAGATGATGGATAGACAGATGATAGATAGATAGGTAAATGATAGACATGATAGATATATAGATACATAGATGATAGAGAGATGATAGATGATAAATTAGATAGATAGATAGATAATAGATAGAGATAGATGATATAGATAGATAGATAGATAGATAGATAGATAGATAGATAGATAGTTATTCAATGAAAAATTAACAGCTATTGACAAGTCAGGATATTACCAGGTTTAAGAAAATTAACATGTAATAGAAAGAGATCCAGAGAGAATTTTCCAAATAGAACATTAATTCACAAATTTAAGAACTCTTACAAACCCCATGCACAATAAATATGAAGAAAGATCCACATCTAGGCTTTACTGGAGTCAAACTGATGAACAAGAAAATAAGAGAGAAAAATTTAAATCAACCAGAGGGGGACAAATACAAGTTACCTTTAAAAAGGTAACAATAAGATTGACAACTGAATTTAAACGGTAAAAAAAGTAGAAAAGCAATTTAGATACCCTCTAATTTCAGAAGGAAAAAATTTTAGAATATTTACTTTGAGTATCTGTTTCACAAATGAAGGGGACATATCGACATTTTTAGATAATTAAGAACTTAGATAATTTGTCAATAACCTTCCAGCACTAAAACATGTAATAAAATTTATACATAGTGAAAAGCAAAGTAATTCCAGAATAGAGCAAAAAGATGTAGGAAGGAATGAAGAGTAAACAAAAGATATATATTAGATAAATTTAAATAAATGTTGCTTATAAAAACATGGACATATATATTAACATAAATAAACATACATGAAATTAAAACACAATCCTAGCATAGTAATACGTAAACTGGAATAAGAATAAATGGTCTTAAGATTTCTAACATTCTTACATTGTACAGGAAATAGTAAAAATATTAATTTATATTAGTAAATCAATACTACATGCTGTGTTCTCAAAAGCAATACTGTCTAATAAAACATTCAGTGATGCTGAAAATATTTTTATCTGTAGTTTCCAAAATTTGGTATCCATTAACCACATGTATCTGCTGTGCACTTGAAATGTGGTGATTATGACTGAAAAATTGAATTTTAATTTAATTTAATTTAATTAATTTAATTTAATTTAATAAATGTAAATTAAACTCAATACTATGTGGTTAGTGTCTACTCTATTTGATGGTATGGCTTTAGGGTATCCTCTAAATGAAAAATAAAATAATGTGTATCATCTTAGAAGGCTGACAGGATGATTGTTAAGAAATATCTTGTTTTATAGCTGACAAATTTCTTATCATATAGCAAACTTGGAGATTAATAAAGCAGAATTATCGATTTTTATTTATTTCTTTTGCCTGATATATATTTTTACTTTTTTTCTTTTGTTTCCTTATATTTAAAAAAATCTATTTGAAATAGAAAACAGTTATGATTTTTAGCCCAGTCTAATATTCTGTCTTTTACATAGATTATTTAGTCACATTTAATTTAATTATTGAAACATTCAGATTTCTACCTACATATTTACTGTTTTGTTGTCATGTGATTTATCTTGTTTCTTTTTATCTACCTTCATGCTTTCAGAGGTGATAAGTAGGTTAATGCTATAATATTACATTTTTAAGGTTTTTTTCCAAGCTTAATTTTTAAGCAATTTAAGAGATTTTTATGATCATTCTTAATTTATGACTGTTTACTTCTCCCTGTATATTAAGAACCACACATCTTTTAATTAGTGTTGTACACAATGAGTATTTAGACATAATTCACTTATATTTCAGTCATCTTTTTCTCTTCTGCAATCCCTAATTTCCCTCCGAGTTTATTGTCTAACTGGAGAGAATCCTTCAGCATTCATTTTAGCTCAGTTTTTCCTGACACAGAGAGCTCTATAAAAATGATAGTTAGATATTTTACTTTTTTAAAATAATAAAATGCCATTTTATTATTTTAAAATTACAATAGGAAAAAAGCATTTTTTACAATGAAGGAGAAAATTATCTGAAAGGATCTAAAGGGGAAATTGTCCAAAATGTACTATGTGATGGGAGTTGTTCTGGAAGAGACGGGTCTCCAGACAAATTGTAAATATAAATGACAAGAAAGGCAAGGTACATATGAAAAGCCACAAACCATATTGATATGGAACTTTTTATTTAAATTACACAGAGATGGAAAAACCCATAGTCATTAGTTATCTCCTCTCGCCTCAAGAATATTTGACTTCTTGACTCTTTTCACAGGTGCACAGGTTGCTATCCACTGAGTCTTAGATTCAAATTAGTCTTTTTTTAGTCATTTTGACTCTAAATACTTGTGCTGATTTATCTCTGTGACCCACCATGTTTCTCATTCAATTTATCTTATCTACTTTCCTTTTTCCAATGGATTTGAGAAACAATATATTATATAATAAAATACATGGGAAATAATTTTAGGGAATGAATTAAATTGAGGGAAAGGAAAATATGGGTAACAAACAGGGTGTTTTTATTCCACTGACAGAAAAAAGTGACTTCATCACCATCCCTGCCCTTAGAAGTAAGCCTCTTCCAGCCAATATACAGGCAAATACACAATGATTCTGGGCTAAGGATATGAGTAGGGGCTTTCCTGGATGTGAGTGGATGGCATTAATACCATGTAGTCATAGAATTTTGACTTTGGAATGGTTCGTTCACTTAGTGATATAACAACATGATGAATTTACCCATAAATATGAGATGAAAGGAATTATTCATCTACAATTACAGAAAATATTACTGAATTGCACAAATAAGAAATTCCAAGTATGGAATCCATGACTGTGAAGAATGCCACACCCACAGCTGAGAGTATAAAAATGCCCCAGTCCAGGAGGTGACATTAAACCTCAGAAGCCTCTGTGTGACTTATCTGAACTCTCATTTCCCCTCAACATGTCCTACAACTGCTGCTCTAGAAACTTCTCCTCCCACTGTCTTGGGGGCTATCTTTGCTCCCCAGGCTCCTCCTGTGGCTCTTCCTACCCCAGCAACCTGGTCTACAGCACTAGCCTCTGCTCTCCCAGCACCTGCCAGCTGGGCTCCTCTGTCTACCGTGGTGGTCAGGACACCTACTGTGAGCCCACCAGCTGCCAGACGTCCTGTGTGGTGTCCAGCCCTTGCCAGACATCCTGCTACCGCCCAAGGACCTCCACACTCTGTAGTCCCTGCCGGTCAGCTTACACCACATCTGTGGGTTCTGGGTCCAGCAGCAGCTGCTCCGTGGGCTACCGATCCAGAAGTCGCTACTCCCTGGGTTGTGGTTCCAGGAGCTTCCGACCCCTGGATTATGGCCTCTGTGGTTTCCCGTCTCTGGGCTATGGATTTAGATTCTGCCGCCCAACTTACTTTGCCTCCAGGAGCTGCCAATCATTGTGTTACAGACCAACATGTGGATCTGGCTTCTATTAATCAACCTGCTGAGGGTTCAGACATTTTGAGCAATAGCCAACCTTTAAACAGAGCATCTATCATCTTCATGATGTTCAGGAAAAACTCTCTGACCAAAAAATTATCACTAACATTATACTGAACTTAATGATTAATTCTATTTAATGAATTAATTCTATAGTAGAATTAATGAAATATATTACTAGATCAATTAATGGAATTTATTTTAATAAACAATGATTTAATGTTAATGAGTTAATAGGATTTTCATTTATGCATTTTATTCTCAAAATAGATGAAAATCCAAATTAATATAATCTAATAAACATTCATTCTGACTTCTAATATGCTACTAATTTTTATTGTTAGTTTTAATCAGCTGAGTTTTGTTTTCTGTTTGTTTTTGTTTTATTTTTGCTTTTATTTGGGGAGGGCTATTTAGATTGAAGTTTACTATGCAAACTTTGGAAATCTAGTAGATTGGTAAATTTGAAATAATTTATTTTAGGCTTTAAACATTTCCTTCTTCAAAACTGCTGTGTTCAGGAATACTTATATTGCATGCATAGAGTTTATCTGGATAATTATCTCAGAGGCAGTACAGACCACATTTGTTTCAAAGGATGTGGGCCTTAATGGTTGTTAACCATAGGAAAAAACCCCCACAAAACTTGAAAAATATAACTGAGTGGGGAAAAAATTAGGCTATATGGGAAGATTTGTACTTTAGTCTAAATAGCTTTCTTTGATTGAGTCAACGTTGGGTAGCAGAAATAATGATATCCCTTCAACTCACTGAATACTTTTGTATGTAATTAACTTTTACACAAGTGTAAGGAGGAAGTTAATTATCTTTGGTGAGAATTAATTATGTTCATGAGTTGTGGAGTTTCACTTTCTTGTATCCAAAACTCAAACTAAACATGATGGGGGCGGGGGGGATTCTTTTATATCATTGGAAATTATTTTCATTCATATCTCAACATATTTTTGCAGGTCCCTTGTTTTCATATTTTATGTTGTCATTCTGATATTTTATAGGCCAAATATTTCAGAAAATAATAAAATGCTAAGATAAGTAAAGCTAAAGCTAATAACAAAAACATTATCTTTACACAGAGATAAAAAGCAATGTTCAAAGAATTTTGCTATTCATTAATGTTTAGATTGCTATGAGAATTATGAAAAACATACATTTTAGGAACTACAGTTATTTTATACTTAAGGAAATGAAGATTTGAAGTGGTTCAAGGTTTCACAATAGGTCCCAGTCTTATAAAGAAACTGCAATCCAAGATTTCATGACAGATGGGGACTAATATAAGAAGTAAAGACACAAGTGTGGGAGAGAATAAGGAGAATTTTGAGAAGATAAAATAAAATGAACTAAACAGAAAGGTTTACTGGTACTTCTGTTAAGGAAGTTATTGGAAATCAAGATATAATTTGTATGACGTAACAATGAAAAATCTGACTAGAGATGTATAATAGGTATCTATTACTTCACTATTTGGATATCTTGAGTTTGGGATCATATTAATCTTAGAATTTGCCTTCTCTTATACTGTTAAAATAGCTTTCTGCTTTGTTACTTTCACTCTATTTTCTACCTGTTTAAACATTCGTAAATATTTTATAAAATAAGGCTTTTGTCCAATGTTTTATGAAATAATGTATTGTTATATATACTTATTGTATATAAATATATATATTCACGTTAAATACACAATATGGCAGACCATATGGTGTTGGTGGTATTTGTGGTACAAAAAAAAATGCATTGTAGAGTTTATGGCAAGCCCTAGTGTGAGAATCACAACACAGGCAAATAAAATTATAGAGCAAGACGTTGTAATTTGCAGTAAAGAATTAATATACCTTTGGAAAATCATCTCCTTGGATACTACATGGGCCTGGTAAAGATACAAAACTTGACGATGGGACAAGTGATCATGCATCTGTAGCTGTCCATCAGGAGCTGGGTCCTGTTGAACTCTCCAAGTCATAAAAGAAGGCAGACCCAGTAGCAATCTATTGCAAGAAGGAAATAGCTAATATAGGAAAAAACATAAACAAAACAAGAAAACAGGCTGCATGAGCAAGAGTCCAGACTCCCATGTCACCAACCAGGATTGCACCAGGTTTGCAGATAGATTGTCTCATTATGTGATGTCTTTAATCACTGTGGGGAGAAAAAAATATTTTCTCTATGGGCAGAACTTTATGGCCAGCACCTGATTATCCAATTTGTATAAAAGGGGAAAAAGAGTAGCCACAGTTGATGATACATCTAGATTCTTGGACAGTGGCAATTAACCTGACCAGTAGTTAGGGACCTAGAAGGGAGACTCTTAGAATATTGATACAGGAAATCTAGGGTAGAGACATGTGGACAGATATATGCAAATGAGTTCAAAATGTGAAGATCTTTGTATTTCTTCTTAATGCCCGCTAGAATGCATCCACCATGGAAGAGGACCTAAACACTCAGTAGCCAAACGCTTCTGCCACCATACTGGCAAGATGAGCAAGCGAACAAAGTGACCACAGCAGCTATGCATGAGCTCAACAGCATGAGCTTCTACTTACAAGGCCGTTATAAATATTTAATGCCACCTGTGAATGTCCAATCTGTCAGCAACAAAGGCTAATGCTAAATTCCCACTATTCCTCAAGGAGACCATCTACCCACTTGGTTGCAACTTGAACATGGCCCGCTTCTGCCCTGGAAGGATCAGTGTGGTTCACTCTCAAACACATAGACACCTATTCAGAGTGGGAGCCTACTTTTCATGCTTACCTCATCAGCACCGCTAGTCAGGAGCTGATCAAAAACTTGATCCACCAACACGGAATTCCTCATGATGTAGCATCCGCACAGAAAATCCTCTTCACAGTAGAGATAGCGTGAAGTGGGTTCATTATAGTAGAGATAGTGTCAAGTGAGATCCACAGGTTTTATTAAAAACATCGCTCTGAAGCTATATGTCTGATGGTGCATTAGACTGGCCTACTGACAGCAAAGCTGAAGTATTAGCATGGAGGCAACTCCTTTAAAAGATTGGGCAGCAAATATTCACTTACTGTCACTCCCAATGTCCTATTTAAGTACTTTGTGCTTCCTTTTTCTGCAACTGGAATTTTCAAGGATAGTTGCCCAGGTCCCAGAGGCCGACTTGCTAAGGGACATATCAAAGGTCTCACTGAACTACAATACAGCTACAGCTGCTGCCTAAGCACTTTGTGCTCCTTGTTTTCAGATACCAGTAGGCATAAAAAAGAGTTACCTTCCATCCAAGGGTATATGACCCTGAGTAGTAGAAAGAGGCAGGGTTACTCTTACACAGTGAGGGTAGGGAGAGTATATGTGGAGCTCAGTTGATTTACTCGGATGGCTCTTGGAACCGTCTGTCCAATTGTGGATGTGATTTGTCAAAGGCAGAAACTCTAGCAAGAAAAAAGGGTGCATACGTCTCAGGAATAAGGGCTTGGGTAACACTACCAAAAAATCCAAGACCAATAGAGGTGGTAACTGAGGGTGCAGCACAGTTATAAGGAAGAGTGAAGGAAGAGGAGGATGATCACCAACTGTAGCTCCAAGATCAAATGCAATGAAGGAACTGTGTTTCATCCCACTGATCTTACACTTTAGCATTTCCCCTTAGGAAGAGAGGCCTGACAAGCTGCCCCTCAAGGTGCAAGTGGTGGACTATGCCAGGTACAGATGTGTACTGGAACTCATATCACTTCAAAAAAGGAATAGATGTCTGTGACAAGTGATGTTAGCTGACATCCTTCTTCTTTGGTTTCCTTAAGGGCTGCTTGAAATTTTAAGCCAAGGTCAAGTTTTTTGGTTTTACTTTTTTGTGGCAACTCCTGGTCAATAGCAAAACAAGGTGGTAGAATGGCTTTTTCTTTCTTTCACAGATGCTACTCTTGCAAATGTTTTTTGTTCTTCTACCCCTGTCTCGGTGCCTGCTTCCTGGAGAATCCAACTAGCAAATATACTCTCTATTCTTTCTTGAAATTTAATATTTTCTTCTAAGATTGTTTTCCTTCAGGCTCAAAAATTTCTGTTAGTATTTATTTCAGTGCAGGATTATCTGACAGAGTGAACCCATTGAAAATTAACATTCAGTTATTGTATTATTCAAAGGAAAAATAAAATGAATAGGGGTAATAAAAGAATATTTTATATTTTTGAAGAATGTTTCAGAAAAGGACTGACTTCGAAAATGCACAAAACTCATTGATAGTCTAAGCAGCGAAAAGCCTGAGGATGCAGACTCCAGATTCTTTTAAAATTTGGATGATGTGAATGGACACATGTGAAATACATAAACCATATTTCTTTTCACACAATATATTTAAATAGCATTTGTATTAAAAGATCCATAGGCTAGAAGAAAGTAGAAAAGATACTTAAAATCTCCGTTCCTCCATTCTCTTTCGCAGTTTCCCACATTATCATCATTAGTCCCAGTCCCTCTCCAGGTGGCTCAAATCAAACTCTCCTGGTGACTCCATCTCAGTTGAGTCATTTTGTCTTTAAATGTTTGCCTGGTTTCTTTCTGTTTCTAGCCATTTCTCATTATATGTTATTTTTCTTCCCTCTGCTGGATGTGAGAAGCACTGTATAATAATACGTGATAGATGGAAAATAAATTTGGAAAATGTGAATCAGCGGTGACAAGTAGAATCAATCATTAGAAGCATCCTTAAAAAAAAAAAAAGCTATGCCACTGATCACTTGACATAGTAGAAAAGTGGCAGAGAGAACCCTAGAGCAAAGCAGGAATACATATACATGGGATCACGGCCAGGGAGAAAAGAAGGGGCTTTCCTGGCCATAATAGGAGGAGGATTACTGACAAAAAAAAATCCTAGAAATTCTGATTTAGGAATGATCATTGGCCTGTGCTGTAATAAAAAATTATAGCACCTATAAATACAATAGGTAGGAAGCTAGTCAACTGCCAGTACAGAGAAAATTAATGAATTACATATATGCAGAAGAGGTTATGCAAATGTGAGATTATACCTGTCCTGTGTCATTCCAATTAATATTATATAAATTACCCAGTCTATAAGATGACCATAAAGCACAGAATCTTCTCACTGTGACTAATCTGAACTCACATCTCCCATCAACATGTCTCAGAACTATTGCTCTGGAAATTTCTCCTCCTGCATTGTGGGGGCTACCTGTGCCCAGGTTCCTCCTGTGGCTCTTCCTACCCCAGCAACCTGGTCTACAGCACTGACCTCTGCTCTTCCAGCACCTGCCAGCTGGGCTCCTCTCTCTACCGTGGTGGTCAGGACACCTGCTGTGAGTCCACCAGCTGCCAGGTGTCCTGTGTGGTGCCCAGACCTTGCCAGACATCCTGCTACCAATCAAAGACCTCCACACTCTGCAGTCCCAACTGGTCAAATTACATTGGTTCTCTGGGTTCTGGATCCAGCAGTTGCTACTCCAATGGCTATGGATCCAGAAGTTTTTACTCACTGGGCTATGGATCCCATGTCTTCCCATCCTTGGATTATGAAGTCTTTGGCTTCCCTTTCTTGAGCTATGAATCCGGTTTGTGCCTGGATTCATAACTCAGGAAAAATATATTTTGCTTTTAGGAGACTTCAGCCATCTCGTTACCAATGACTTATCTCTCTGGATTCTACTGATCAACTTGTTGAGTTACGGTACTTTTAAAGCAAAGTCATCAAAATGTCTACTAGAAGTTCCATCATGCTTATTATTTTCAGTGGCAACTATCTTTTTAGTCTTTGATCCACCAGCTCTTTAACCAGTCTCTTTCCATTAAACACCTACTAGCAGATGGTTTCCTAAATCCTCTAATTCTAATGACTTAATTGTAAAATCAGCATCACTGATGAAGTTTGTGCTAATTTATTTTCTGCCAAAAATGGATAAAGAGTTAAATGATTATAATCTAATACACTAATTCATTCTGGCATTGAAATATTTTTATGTTATTGTTTATGCAATATGCATCTGAAAATAAACTTTGGAAGCTTAGAAAGTTGTGAATTTGATCTAATTTCTTTGGACTATAAATACTTTTCTTATTCAAACTTTAGTTACTAGACATCCACATTTTGTAGTTTTAAAGATTCGTGAATGAAAGTCTCAGAATCAGTATATAATTCATTCCTTCAAAGAACAGGAGCTTTATCTATGTGGAGAAAGGCAGTGTAACTCTGAACTTGACAGAAACATTGAAAATTTCATGAACAAGAATAACATTTAGGTGTACATAGTTAGTTGTGTCTTGCTTCCAAATGTTTATCCAGGTTTCCTTCTGTTCCTAGCCTTCCTCAATTCCTCAATTCTATTTGTAACATTGTTGAGCCTTCTCCATTGGATATGAGATACTCTACATTAATATTTAATACTCGGTAGATATTTTGAGAATAAGAATAAGTGATCACAAATAGGTTCAATCTTTAGAAGACTTTTTGTCAAGCCCAAAGCTATGCATCTAAACAAATAAAAGAATAAAAGAAAAGTGATGTCGTTTTAACCTCCACCCTTAGAAGGAATGCATACCCCAGCATAGCCAGAATCAGACACACGAGCAGCATATACCAGTAAGTAAAGGAGAGACATTCCTGGCCATGATGGGATGGTCATTAATGTAAAACGGTCATAGCATTTCTGACACAAGAGTAGTTTATTGGCTTTGTGTTTTATTATTATAGTACCATAAATACAATATGCAGGAAATTATGCAGTTGCAATTACAGAAATGATGGTTGAGTTAATAATATGCAAATGAGAGAGTACAAATGTAGGAATGATGCCCTCGTAGCTTTCAACACCATTGCTGAGAGTATATAAATGCCACAGTCCAGGAGGTAGAAATGAACCTCAAAACCTTCTTACTGGAACTCAGCTAAACTCACATCTCTGGTCAACATGTCCTACAACTGCTGCTCTGGAAACTTCTCCCTCTCCTGTGGGGGCTACCTGGGCTCCTCAGGCTCCTCCTGTGGCTCTTCCTACCCCAGCAACCTGGTCTATAGCACTGGTCTCTGCTCTCCCAGCACCTGCCAGCTGAGCTCCTCTCTCTACCATGGCTGCCAGAAGTCCTGGTGTAAGCCCACCAGCTGTCAGGAGTCTTGTGTGGTGTCCAGTTACTGCCCAAGGACCTCTTGCTACCCTCCGAGGACCTCCACACTCTTCAGGCCCTGTCAGTCAACTTACAGTGTGTCTCTGGGCTCTGGGTCTCACAGAGGCTGCTCCCTGGGCTATGGATCCAGAAGCTGCTACTCACTGGGCTGTGGTTCCAGGGGCTTTGGACCCCTGGGTTATAGAATCCCTGATTTCCCTACCTTGGGCTATCGATCCAGATTCTGCCATCCAACCTATTTTGGTTTTTGGAAGCTCCATCCATTTTGCTACCAGCCAGTCTGTGGATCTCGCTTTTACAGGTTAACTTGCTGAATGTTTTCAGCTTGTTTCAAATTTTTGTAGAATGTCAACTATTTTATTCTCAGAAGCAATAACTTTCTTCATGGTCTCCAAAGACTGCTCATCTACTCTATGACCACTCAGCCTAGCTTACAGATTGGTTCTTGCAAAATGTAAAACTAAGTAACAAACTGAACTTTAAATTATAGTTTCATTGGTGATGGAAGTCATCCAATGATTAGATATCCTTTAACAATTAAGAAAATCTATTTGTCTTAAGTAAATAAACATATTTATTCTGGCAGCCATATATGTTGTTGTTATTATTTCTTTCTTATTTATTGACCAGGAATTCCTTTCAGTATTTATTGAGTTTATATATGTAAGAGATTAATTTGCTTTACAAAACAAGCTTTAGATTTCTAGGGGTTAAGAGATTTGAAATAAAATTTTTGATCTTTAGATTTTGTTTGCATTTTAATATAAACTTTATATAAATAAACAAATCAAGAGCTTAGAAAGCTTTATTCTTCAAATCATGTGAAGTCTTGTATTTCTCTTCACAGGAGAAGAAAAACACAAAAGTTTGTGGATGTATATGGAATGTAAAGAGGAAGAATAAAATTTATAAAAACTGCTGGGTTTGCACATGAAATAAAAATTGAATATAAATCTAACTTGTGTCTGTATATTTTCAGAAAATACTAAATATAAAGCTTGAATAACTTGTATTAAGTTCATCTGATATTGGTTTGCAAAGTGACCAAATCTCTGAATCTCTATGAGTCCTTTTCCATGAAATTCATTTATTTACATTATATAAGGAGGAAGCCAATTATTCTTGGTGTAAAGATTTTGCTTTAGGATGTGTGGGCTTTTACTTCCATGCTCTCCAATGGCTCAAACTACATTCTGTTAAGAACCACAGCCTTTATGTCAGCAAAATAGGAAGATCCTTTATTTTTATTTTTTCATAGTCACCTGTTAATATTTTATAGGCCACTTATTCCAGAAAACAAGACACTGCAATGTCAGATACCATTTGATTTGGAGACAAATCTAATAATAAAAAAAGCATTACCTTTATGTTGAGCTAGATCAACGTTCCAAGAGATTTTCAAGTCATTATTTCTTTAAAATCTCAAATGGTACTCAAAGAAGATAAATTTTATGGTGCTTTGTTGTTGTTTTTTTAAACATGAGACAATGGAAGCTTAAAGTGAGTCAAGGTCTGGCCAAAGATCCCAGCCTTAAAGAGAAATTAATGCTCATAATTTCTTGAAGAATAGAGTCTACTATGAAAAGCAGTCTAAGTAGTATAGGATAAAATAGAAGTAGTTTGAGAAGATAAAATGGAATGATCGAAGACAAGAGGTATAAAGTTACCTGGTATGTTTAGGGAATGTTTGGGCATTGATTTACAATGAGTCAAAGGTTTATTTGGTAAACATTATTTGGCTAGATATTTATAATAGCTGCATATTTCTGGTGAAAATTCTTGCTCCAGATTTTTTGTCCATTCTAAATAATTCTGCATATATCATAAAATAAACATTTTTACCAACCACCCTTATATGTGGAAGTTTAACATGATATTATTTACCAAATATAATGTTTGACAGCATTAAACTGGGTAGTTTAAATCACTCCAGCAATAAGAACCCTAATAAAACTAGATAAAATAATCTGCACAAACACTAGAGCACCATCAGGTTAAAAACTGCTAGATCAAAATTAGGAGAGGTTCTAAATCAAAAAAATGTTGGTGTTTTGACCATTTTCTTCCTAGAGTTGTTCATCGATTCCAATAATGTTAATGAGCTCACGGTGTGAATGAACAGAATTGGATTCCAGGGCCTTCTAAATAGCTGGGAATACAGGTAAACATTCTAGGCTTTTGAAATGTTCTAAGATTTTAAAGACTCTACTAGAATTTTAAAGATAAGAAAACATAGAATATGATATATAGGAACTAAAGCCAACTTTTGAATTGCATCAATCTTGATAATAGGAGAGTGTTAGTAATCATACCCCAGCTTGGTACATCCAAAGTAAATTCCTCTACAGATAGACCCATTTAGGGCCTCAAATTATCTATGATAATTGATTAAAAATTACCAGTCCTACCAAGAAGAAAGAAAGAAAGAAAGAAAGGAAGAAAGAAAGAAAGAAAGAAAGAAAGAAAGAAAGAAAGAAAGAAAGAAAGAAAGAAAGAAAGAAAGACCATACCAAGAGACAACACAATGTATAAACAAACCTACAAGAGATCTAGGTAATGGACATCTTAGAAATATACAGAAAAATAATCGTGGTTATTATTCTTAAGAAATAAAAAAACAATTTTGACAGAGTGCTAGAATATATAAAAATGAACATGAAAATGCTAAAACTGTAAAATAGAATAATTAAAACTAACAAAACTCAAATTAATTCAAAGGCAAACTGACACAGTCTGAAAATATGAAACAACTTCCCTCCCAGTTAAAATATAGAATGTGATAATGAACTCAGATCAGAGTGGAAGCATGTCTGACTGGAGTTTAGGGAAACTGGAGGTGCATATTTGTGCACGTACGTGTATTAATCATATAATAATATGTGTGCATAAATACTGTCATATGGGTATATAAATATAAATGTTTATATTTCACAATCCACTGTTTTTTTATATAGAATACCTGTAATGCAATAAAAACCTTACAAAAAATTTCAGAGAACATGTAAATGTTACCCTAATCTAAAGAAAATCGATCAATAGAAACAAATCACATTTATCATAAATATTAGAATTAGTTGGAAAGGATTTTAAAATGGCTCTAATGCATATGTGAATAATTTAAGAGAAAGATGAATATAATTGATAAATATATGGGGAATTTAAAAATATGGAAATAATTTTAAAAATTGGTATTCTCAAACAGAAAGTTGAAGATTTAAAATAAAAATAGTATTAAGAGAATATTTTACAAGACAGAAGTAAGGATAAGTGAACTTGAAGATGAATTTAAAAACACAATATTATCCAATCTAAGCTACATAGAGAAACAAAGAACAGGGGAAAAAAAAGCAAAGTAAAACAGAGTAAAGATTGAAAACCTGTTGAAACAATTTCAAGCAATCCAAAAACTATATAACAAAAGTCCCAGGGGGGGAAAAAAGAAACAGAAAAACTGTAGTAAAAAATTTTGTACGTTTGACAAAAAAAGCCATCATGAAATAAACAAACAAACAAACAAACACTTTCAACTCACAAATCCAAGAATCTTAGGATAAATTTATTTTGACTTAAAATAAATTTAAAAATCCAGCTTTTGGCACATTATAGTAAACTGATAAAAAGTAAAGACAAAAGAAAACCTTAAAAGTAGCCAGAGAAAAAAAGAAATATTACATATGAGGGAATAGTAACAAGAAATGCAGCTGACTTTCTTATGGCCAGAAGAAAGTGGAATGAAATATTTAAAAGGTTGAAAATAAATTATAAAATTTGTATCTTTAAAAATTAACTATCAAATTAATTAATTTGATGCTCGATGATTTGGTTATCAATTTCTAGAAGTGGGTACAATTGAAAAAGTCAGTACCATAATCTATGGATAGTATTCCTCAGATCAGAAACTATTGGATCCATATCTCAGGAATAGAGACCCACAAATGGAAATATCACAAGTCACTATTTCCACAGTAAAGAGCACACATATTTTGAAAGTGCCAAGTTGTGTAATATTGACGAGTAATTCATTTTTTCTAAAAAACAAACAAACAAAACAAAACAAAACTACTCCTAACCAGTACAAGGTTGGGAGGTCGGGGCTTGGTTAACCAGGATCTGAGTGCATGGAAAGTCTCCTTCAACTAATACCCATCATTATTTGCCATTATGCACATGTAGAATTAGAGATAAATATAGACTAGAAGAGAATGAGGTTACAAGCCTCTCTGATTGGTGCCGAGGATATGAACTAAGATTCTATACTCTGAAAACAAATTTATTAACTTTCCACATTTGTCTAATGTGGTTACTCTTAAGTTTTCCATGAAGGCTATTTTGAATAAATGTTTGCAAAACAGGAAGAATAAGGAAGGGTAAGAGACTTACCTTACTTGTTAAAGGAAATGAAGAAAAAATTAATTCTGGTTTGGAATACAAAAAAATTATTTTTTTTCAAATACTTATTTAAATTGTGTGCAGCTATTAGTCATTTTTTTCCTATATGATGTTTCTTTTAAAAATTAAAAGAATTGATTTTTCACAAAACCCAAATTTTGACCTAGTTGGTTTTGTTTCATGTTTGACTTCAATTTTATTGATTTCTGTTCATATCTTTATAATGTCCTATCTTAAGTTCTCTTTTGGTTTAAATTGCTAATATTTCTAGCTTCCTCATATAGAGTACTAAAAATTTGATTTCTCATATTTTCACATATACATTAAGATCTAATATTTTCCTTCTAAACAGCTGTATCACTCAAATTTTACTAGATTGTATCATCATTATCATGCATTTCAAATTATTTCCCAATTTACACTCTTTTTTTTAAGTTTGGATGATTATGGATAGTATTAATTTACTATAATATGATGTTTTTAAGTTAAAAATGTATAATTCATTTCTATCATATCTACTCATTTTAAGCTTCTAAAAACTATTTCCAGCACTAAATAAACAATCACCCAAATTTAAAGTCTAAAGCCAAAATTTGTAGTAGGATTTATTTCCATAGATTTTATCCACAAAATAAAATTTACATGACCTGAATGTAATAAAGTTAATCCAAAATGCACATTTGAATGTGGTTACTCTTAAGTTTTCCATGAAGGCTATTTTGAATAAATGTTTGCAAAACAGGAAGAATAAGGAAGGGTAAGAGACTTACTTTACTTGTTAAATGAAGAAAAAATTAATTAATTCTGGTTTGGAATACAAAAAATATTTTTTTTCAAGTACTTATTTAAATTGTGTGCAGCTATTAGTCACTTTTTTTCCTATATGATGTTTCTTTTAAAAACTAAAAGAATTGATTTTTCACAA